TTTCTGTAGAAACTAAGTCTCCCGGCAAAGCGATCTCATTGCATATTACACCTGCCATTGGGGACCCTTTATCAATATTCTTTAGTTAGCTTATCCAACACTTGTAAGTAATACAACGTTTGCATCTCTTGTTCGGCAGGCCTTATTTTTATATTAGTTTATCTATTATTAGAAAAAGTATGTTTTAATTTAAGGGTCATCTATTTATGACTTCCATAATTGAGTCGGTTATATGCTGTTCCAACTCAGTGTGTGAGGGGAGGGGTCCACGCTGTACCTGCCTACCTGCAGTATGTTTGTAGGTTATCAAAACAAAATGCTTTTTTTCAGTAAAAATCATGTATATCGTGATTAGAACACTCCAGGGAGGGTTTCTGCCGAAAAAAAGATTTTTTTAATTTCGTAAGGGGGGCGCCCCGGAAGGGTGCGATTTTTCTCTATTATACTGTATATATAATTTTAAAAAGTTGGATGCGGTTTGACACCGTTCCTCCGAGTGATATGAAGCTTTCGGAAGGTAAAGAAAATACTCCCGTGAAGGTTTCTTTGAAAATAATAATTAAAATTTGTTATTGGCGATGCCAAGGAGCCTGAGATTATCGTCAGTTTAAAATTTGGCGCCCAGAGCTCTAGAGCAGGGGTCTCCAAACTACGGGCCGCGAGCCGGATGCGGTCCGCGAAGTCCTCTCATCCGGCCCACTGAGATCTTTTTGTCCAAGGAAAAATCGTTTATTGGTGATGGCTGAGGAACTTTGCCCAGAAAAATCAAAGACATGCCTGGAAGAAACTGGCCCCCGAACTAAAATTTGAAAGTTAATGCAACCCTAGGACTGAAACGTTTGGAGACCACTGCTCTAGAGCGACTATGTTAGCACTTGGCATCCGTTAATTAGGCCTTCTGCAACGCGGGTAAGAGATACTACTAGATTCAGCGGTAAATTTGCAACAAGTGCAACCGCCGACGCCCATCGATTGCTCGACCCGAAGCGCAACGGGCTCCCCTGTGATCACTATTGCGCCTACGTTTGTTTAAAAAAAAGCTATACACTAAAGACACAATGGGCAACAATAACCAATGACTATATTGAATCAGGCGCCCCTGCCGGTTTCGATTTGGCGCCCAGGTCTTTCCTTGAGAGCATTAGCGCAACGTTCGTTCCATACAGTGCGATAGACAATGGATAAAATGGGGCGTTATAGTCGCTCACTAAATTGAATAAGGCACGTTCGCCTGAACCCTAGCATGGAGCAATAGCGCCCCGTCCTATCCTGTGAGCGATTTGGCGCTTACTTTAGTTTTATGGAGCCAGGGGCAGTACGCGGCGCCGCTGCAGTATTGTAATCGGAGGCTCCCGAGAGCTCCCCTCAACGTCCGTGACACCTGCGCGGTCACCGAAGTGTGTTCTATTTCATTATAAGGCTTTTATGTGGTAGTGTATGTAAACTCGTGCCACGATAAATATGATTCAAGCGCATACATTGTTTATATATAAATAACTGTTTAAAAAAAAGTTCACACATCTAAGAATATAGGATTAGTAACGCAATAATGATACCCTCTTAAAATATTACGCCATACTTTCCTATCCCCTCGGCAACGCACGGTGACGAGCACGCTAGTTTATTTATAATTATAATAGCTTTCTCGTTGAACGCAACCATTTTTCTAAAACAAATTTGATATTTAATCGTCCTATTTTATTAAAAGATTGCATAAGAAAGCAATAAATACAAAACTTTACACTGTATTAGGTAAGGTTTTGCTCTTGATTAATGTAAAGCAAAGTTTATTACAAGCTTTTATTTAACTCACTTCCTCTGTCGTCAGTCGTCAGTCTGCCTGTCTGTCTGTCTGATCGAAACGCCCGTGTGAGATTGCAGGCACTTTTAACTGACAGAGACGTATAACATTTCCATGGACTAAGACACCCGACCATTTTATAAGCAACAGTTATATAAAAGTTTAAAAACGCAAAGCAAGTAAAATTTGTAGTTTAAATAGATTATAACAGTGAGTAAAGTTAATTAACTAGGACGCTAATACATTTGCATTTTCATATCAACATTTAAGGACATTAAAGTAATTTTAAAAATAATATAAATACTTTATTATATTTTTAAAATTATTTTATATTTAATACAAATTTTATTGTTTTCTTCTTTTTATTGCAATTATAAAAGCTTGTAATTATACAAGTTTTTTTAAATATCAATTTTTATATGCATTTTAAAAATAATATTTGCAATGTTAACAGTTTTAGTTAGTTACGGTAAACGCTGTGAAACATTTCTTGTCATCTTATTCTTTTAAAATATACATTATATATAATGCTAATAAAAATAACATACATTTTCTATCAAAATTTTACACCTATTATGTTGTATAACATTTCCATAGACTAAGCACCAGACCATTTTAAAAGCAACAGTTGTTTAAAAGTTTAAAAACGCAAAGCCAGTAAAATTTGTAGTTTAAATAGATTATAACAGTGAGTAAAGTTAATTAACTAGGACGCTAATACACTTGCATTTTCATATCAACATTTAAGGACATTAAAGTAATTTAATCATGATATTACTGTTTTAATTTTCTTTCGTTAAAAAAAGATGATTAAAAACTAACATTTTTCAACTAAACAGTTGTCTCTGATAGCAGATGTACACTCAATACTCAATTTAATATTATTTAAAATGACGTCATTTAGTTTCCTGAAAAGAAGCCAATATCTCATAAATTTTTCCATAAAGAACATTTTAATAACAAGCTTTTAAGTAATAATGCACTAAACAGTAGAAAATAAATTATACGCAACTATTTAAATTACTATAAAGAAAAGTGTGGGTCACTTTAGTATCTATTGGATACCTTTACTAATATTTAGGAAGAGACCCACGCTTTTCTTTATAGTAATTTATTTAGTAGAGTATAATTTATCTTCTACTTTGTAGTTCATTACTACATAAAAGCTTGTTATTAAAACGTTTTTTTTTAAAAATGTTAGTGCTTTACAAGTTTTTATATTTACAATAGAGTTACTTGACTTAAAACCACTGCGCACCTATTGAACATGATGACGCGCTATTGAACTTGATGACGCGTGTGGAGTGGTTGGATTAGACTGCCTACTAATTTGGTAAAAATTTAAATTTATTCATAATAAATCCATTAGGCATCCAAGTAAGTCAAATTTAATGTCATGTTGCATTGTCTTCATGTCTTGACCCACGTACCAACTACGAACCGTGTCTGTCAGATAAAGTGTCTGCAATTTCGCTCGGCGTATCGATTCAGACAGACAGACTGCCTGACGACTACCGAGGAAGTGAGTTTAAAAAATGTAATAAAACATGTTTTAATAACTAGCTTTTATGTGCTAATGCACTAAAAAGTAGAAAATAAATTATACACTATTATTTAAATAACTATAAAGAAAAGCGTGGGTCACTTTAGTATCTATTGGATACCTTTACTAATGATTTGGAAGAGACACACGCGTTTCATTATAGCTATTTAAATATTAGTGTATAATTTATTTTCTATTTTTTAGTGCATTAGTACATAAAAGCTTGTTATTAAAACGTTTTTTATGGAATTTTTTTTTAGTACTTTATGTGTTTTTATTTACAATAGAGTTTCATGACTAACAATCATTGCGCGCCTATTAATCATGATGAAGCTTTTGAACGTGATAACGCGTGTGGTGTGGTTGAATTGAAATGCCTACTAATTTGCTCAAAATTTTAATTATTTCTTAAAAAAATAATTAAACATCCCATTACGTAAAATTTAATGTCACGATGCACTGTCTTCATGTCTTGACCCACGTACAAATTACGAACCGTATGTGTCAGTTAGAAGTGTCTGCAATTTCGCTCCGGCGTTTCGATTTAGACTGACGACAGAGGAAGTGAGTTAAATAAAAGCTTGTAAAACAAAAACAAAAAATTCATAAAGAACGTTTTAATAACAAGCTTTTATGTACTAATGCACTAAAAAGTAGAAAATAAATTATAGACTACTATTTAAATAACTATAAAGAAAAGCTTGGGTCACTTTAGTATGTATTGGATACCTTTAGTAATGTTTAGGAAGAGACCCACGCTTTTCTTTATAGTTATTTAAATACTAGTCTATAATTTATTTTCTACTTTTTAGTGCATTAGTACATAAAAGCTTGTTATTAAAAAGTTCGTTATAATTTTTTTTAGTACTTTACATGTTTTTATTTACAATAGAATTTTATGACTAAAAACCATTGCACACCTATTGAACGTGATGACTCGCTATTGAACGTGATGACGCGTGTGGTTTGGTTGGATAGATATGCCTACTAATTCGATCCAAATTTTAATTAATTCATAAAAAATTAATTAGGCATCCAATTAAAACAAATTTAATTTCAGATCGCATTGTCTTCTAGTCTTGACCCACGTGCCAACTGCGAACCGTATCGTTCAAGTAGAAGTGTCCGAATTTTCGCTCTGGCGATTCGATCTAGAACGACGACAGACGGACGACAGAAGAACTGAGTTAAATAAAAGCTTGTAAAAAAGCTTGTAAAGACATGATCTTTTTTTCGAACTTTTAAACTTTTCGTATACACTGTCTAGAGGAAGTTTCGAAAATTGCAAAAATTGAAATCGTATTTTTACAAAAATTATTTTATTTTAACCTTGATTGTTTAATGAAAATAATAATAATAATAATAATAATAATAATAATAATAATAATAATAATAATAATAATAATAATAATAATAATAATAATAATAATAATAATGATAACAATAATAATAATAGTAATAATAATAATAATAGTTATAATAATAACAATAATAACAATCATAACAATAATAATAATAATCATAATAATAATAATAGTAATAATAATAATAATAATAATAATAATAATAATAATAATAACAATAATAGCAATTACAAATATAAAAAAAAAAAAATTATTTTTAAACGATTACAATAGTAAGCATAGTGGCCTTTTTACACAATGTCCGTTATTGAAGTACTTTCTTATAAAATATTAAAGTTGTAGCTTATGCAATAAAGAAATAATATTTACATATTTATATCACATCTCAGAATCGAATGAGAATAGAATAATGTTTGTAGAATTTTTTTTTCATAAAAACGTTTAATAAAAACACGTATTTCAATGTAGACAGACTGACGACAGGCTGACGAGAAAGTGAGTTAAATTAAAACTTGTAAAAATGCGGAAATGACTATGTTTATGAGATCGTTAAATGTTGTTTTTTTTTTGCTACTTAGTTTTAATATATCTTTTCAATTGTAGATAGTTATTTACTTTCTCGTATTTACGAAGTATAGAGAAAGTCTTGTAATGAAGTCTATAACTTGAGTACTATTTCAGATAAATGAAATTTCACATGTAAGTAAAAGATCTAATTTTCTGCTGTCTGTCACATTTGGAGTACTTCTGTTGAAAAGAAGTAGTAATTTTCGCTATTTCCGATTTCTCAAAAAACGTATGTGCATTTAATAATTACTTTTACTATTCAACACTATTATGCATATTTTATTTGGCGTTCATTTGGTGTGCAATTTTTTTTTACGAGATTTTATTCTAGTTTTAAAAGTTTTAGTATTAACAAAGGATTAAAAATCATGTCTATATCCCGAGTTGCCACCCCTATTGTTTCATATTCGAGAAAGTTTAATGGAGATCACTCCCGGTTTATTTCTATAGGAATATTTTTATAAAATAATTGATAGCAGAGTAGAAGAACGTATTTGGAATTTTTTTTATGTGGGATGGTTAAACTAAGACGACGATAGAATTTTGTTTTGCAAAATGATAGATGTTATAAGCTAGAAGGGATTGATTCATAACATATTTTTCAAATCATAATTGCTTATGATGATTACCAATAAGCGCAACAGCAAACATTTTTTCTGGATTTTTTCTTTGATCTAAATAATGTAAATACCATAGATGATGCAGTTATTACAGTGTAGTTATCGCAATATTAGCCTCAGTTAAGAAAATGATACGCCTACACGAATGAGCTTATTGAGTTTAATCTATATTCATCTGGTAAAGAAATAGTAGACCACACGATTCACCAATCTAATCTAACACCTCGATTTGTTTACTATAGTAAAATGCCTATAATTTTAATTTCCTTGCTTAGTGTTTCTGAGTGAATTTTTAAAAAAATACATTGCTTCTGCGCAGCGAATTATGCTCATTCCGACATTATGTCGACTGAGCACCAGTACCGTACCATACCGTACCGTACCGTACCGTACCGTACCGTACCGTACCGTACCGTACCGTACCGTACCGTACCGTATTTACTGAATATTACAGCTCTGTTCGTTTTTTATTCTCTCCCTTTCAGTTCGCAACTCTTCTATAAACTTTATTTGCTGAGTTTCTCGCTCTAGGTTTAATCGTTCAGTTCTAGTCTCCTCCGTCTGTCTACGCAACTCATATTCCTGTTTTCTTTCTTCCATTTCTTCAATGTGTCTCCGTTCAGCAGCTTCCTTCATTTCTTTTAACATTCTAATCTCTGCCCTCGTTTTCGCCTCTCTTTCTTCACTAAGCCGTATTTCGTTTGCCCTCATCTCTTGCTCTTTAAGTTTCATTTCTTGAATTCGTAGGTCATTTTCCATTTTATCTTTTCGTTGTTGACACTTTATTTTTTCAATATGTAATTCGTTTTGTTTTTTCATTTCTTCTTTAATTTTATCAAGTTCTAAAAGCTGTTTTTTTTCTGCAGCTTCAATTTCTCTTTCTTTTAGCAGTAATTCTTTAATATGAGCCTCGTGATCTCTTTTAGCCTTTTCTTCCATCATTTGAAATTTTCTTTCTTCTTCCTTTTGCAGCTTCAAATATTCATTTTTTTGCGCTTCCCTTTCAATTCTGTGTCGTTCTTCGGCTGCATTCATTTCCTTTTGTTTAAGTTCCAGCTCTAATCTTTTTTCTTCCTGCTCTTTTTTGGCAGCATCTTTCAATAACTGAAGTTTTTGTTGGTCAAAATCTTTTTGCCTTAATAGATCCTGTTTTTCAAGATCTATCTTTGCCAAAAATTTCTGTCTTTCTGACTCTATCGCGTTTTTCTGCATTTCTATTTCTTTTATAATACTTTCTTGTTTTTGCTCTGATTCAAGCTGTATTTGTTTGAATTTTAATTCTTCAATTTCTTTTTGTCTTTTTAAGTCATTTTCATATTTTTCCTTATCATCCTGGCGCTGTTTTTCAAATTCTTCCATCGACTTTTTATTTAATTCAATCTGCAGAAGAAGTTGGTGGTGTTCTCTCTTCGACTTCTCCTCTTGCATTTCCATAAACTCCTTATCTTTTTGCATCTGTTGTTCCAAGCGATGTTGTTCGTTTTTACTTTTTTCTCGTTCCTGGATCAACAGTTTGCAGGTATTGATTTGCTCTTCTAATGTTCTGCTCACATTACGAACAGTTTCTAATAAATTGCTTAGAGCTCCACTTTCTTTATCTTCCTCTTCTATTTCAATCAACAGAGCTATAGATTGTGCTTGCATTTTTTCGAGTTCTTCGATTTTGTTTTCCGGATCCTGGAAATTCATTTGATTGTAACTGGACATAATAACTCCCGTTTCTCTAAATATTTTATCTTTCAAAGCAGGTATCTTACATTCTATCAGCAGTTTATCACGAGTTTCCTTTGCATCATCAAAATATTTGTTGGTGTATCTCTTACCACTTGACTGTAGTCTGTCTATCACGTTTATTAGATCGCTTTTTTGTTTGTGTATTTTCTCTACTCCTTCTGCAAAATTATCAAATAATACCACTCTACCCTCACATTCCTCTAAAAGTTTTTGAAACACACCCTGCTGTTGAGTGCACCATTTTTCAAAAGTCAGACCCGTCTTTTTTGTGACCTGCTTTTCAAAGTTATCACCGCATGTTAACACAAGGATACCAAATTTATTTACAAAGTCATTTCCGAATATTTTTTTTAGAATTTGAATTGCAGTGACATCTTCTTCTGTGAATCGTTCTCCAAATTTTAGTACGTAAATTAATGTATGATAGCCCACTGGGTTGAGATTAACGGCGTCCTGCATTTTTTCTGAAACCATTTTTAACGCATCTTCTTCGCTCATCCTTGTATCACACACACCTGGTGTATCTACAACTTTTAGTGTACGACCTTCAAACACACCATATCCATCTTTAATTACATCTGTTACAGATTCGAAATTCGCTGAAGACAGAAAAGCTTCGCTAGACAGAAGACTGTTTCCTAAAGCACTTTTGCCTTTGCCAGTTTTGCCAATCAACAGGATGTCGATGTCGTTTGAAATCTAAGAAAATTATAACATTAATATCAACAAATTTTTGTTGTCACACAGCAACACAGATAGAAACATACTGTCAGACAGAGAAAAAGACGAATAGATAACCATACTTTAGAAAGCCAGGTAAATAGACAGAAAAGAAGACATATAAACAGATAGATAATAATGAAAGCAGGAAGAAATTTGGACAGGTAGACAGACGTATCCTCTGGCAAAAACACATAACATGGATCATAAACACAAACTATTGTAAAGAGAAACAGCCACATTAGCAGACGGAAAGTCAATCTTACAGAAATACATGCAATTAACCATACATTAGCCAGGCACACGGAGAGAAAAAAAGGCAGATAAACTGAAACGCAGAGATAAAGACAGACAGATTGGCAAACAGTAACAATATCTAGTAAACACTGGATTCGTTCTTCGGCAACATTTATTTCCCTTTGTTTTAGTTCCAGCTCCAATCTTTTTTCTTCCTGCTCCTTTTTTGCAGCATCTTTCAATAACTGAAGTTTTTGTTGGACAAAATCTTTTTGCCTTAATAGATCCTGTTTTTCACGCTCTATTTCTGCCAAAAAATTCTGTCTTTCTGACGTTATCGCGTTTTTTTGCATTTCTATTCCTTTTATAATACTTTCTAGTTTTCGTTTTGATTCAAGATGTAATTGTTTTAATTTTAGTTCTTCAATTTCTTTTTGTCTTTTTAAGTCATTTTCATATTTTTCCTTATCATCCTGGCGCTGTTTTTCAAATTCTTCCATCGACTTTTTATTTAATTCCATCTGCAGAAGAAGTTGGTGGTGTTCTCTTTTTAATTTATTTTCTTGCATTTCGATAAACTCCTTATCTTTTTGCATCTGTTGTTCCAAGCGATGTTGTTCGTTTTTACTTTTTTCTCGTTCCTGGATCAACAGTTTGCAGGTATTGATTTGCTCTTCTAATGTTCTGCTCACATTACGAACAGTTTCTAATAAATTGCTTAGAGCTCCACTTTCTTTATCTTCCTCTTCTATTTCAATCAACAGAGCTATAGATTGTGCTTGCATTTTTTCGAGTTCTTCGATTTTGTTTTCCGGATCCTGAAAATTCATTTGATTGTAACTGGACATAATAACTCCAGTTTCTCTAAATATTTTATCTTTCAAAGCAGGTATCTTACATTCTATCAGCAGTTTATCACGAGTTTCCTTTGCATCATCAAAATATTTGTTGGTGTATCTCTTACCACTTGACTGTAGTCTGTCTATCACGTTTATTAGATCGCTTTTTTGTTTGTGTATTTTCTCTACTCCCTCTGCAAAATTATCAAATAATACCACTCTACCCTCACATTCCTCTAAAAGTTTTTGAAACACACCCTGCTGTTGAGTGCACCATTTTTCAAAAGTCAGACCCGTCTTTTTTGTCACCTGCTTTTCAAAGTTATCACCGCATGTTAATACAAGGATAACAAACTTATTTACAAAGTTACTTCCAAATATTTTTTTAAGAATTTGTATTGCAGTCACATCTTCTTGAGTAAATCTTTCTCCAAATTTTAGTACGTAAATAAACACATGATAACCCATTGTGTTGATGTTAACGGCATTCTGCATGTTTTCTGAGAACTTTTTAAATCCATCTTCATTAGTCATCCTTGTATCACAAACACCTGGTGTATCTACCACTTTCAATACGCGTCCTTCGTACACACCATATTCCTCCTTGATTTCGTCCGTAACACTTTCTATATTAGCAGATGATACAAAAGCTTCTCTAGTCAGAAGACTATTGCCTAAGGCGCTTTTACCTGCACCAGTTTTACCAATCAAGAGGATGTCAATGTCATTTGAAATCTAAGACAAAACCACATAACATAGTTGTAAAATATGTGTATGTTTGTGTTAGAAACAAAAGGAAATAAGTTGACAGAAAATACAGACAGCATACATACAAATAGTTAATCAATTGACGAAAACACAAATTGACAGGTTTGACAAATAACTTGATTATGTGGCAATCGAAAAAACTCAATCAGATATAGATAAGTAAAAGAAGGCAATGTGAATGAGCTAACGAAACAATAAAACTTTAATTTACAAACCTCCAGAGTAATCGTCTTTTTTTGCGATTTTTTCATATTTGTATCATCAGGAATCTTATTATCTTCCGCTGTCTTTGTAATTTGTTCTTGCCTTGTTATTTCGTTTTCGACAGATTGATTTGCTAACGTTTCTAGAGAATGTATTGCACCTGTATCTGTTCTATGATTGTAATTTGAATCTTCTGTACCTTGTTGATTAACATTAGAATTTTTGATAGTTTCATTTTCATTTTGGGAACTGCCAGCCACTGCACTACGACATGCATCTTCCATTGTGTTTTAAGTAATATTGTCCGGTTAGTGAAAAATGTTCGTTCTGCTTTATAAAAAGGGAAAATTATATACAGGAGAGTTATAAGTTGATTTACTAATATTAAATGATATGAACTCAAATTAGTAAAACATTCGTACATTTTTTTACAAATTACTTCAACATGATTATTAATACGTTAAGACATATAAACTATTATTACTTGCTGAATACTTATCGACCGCATAAAAGATAACTAAGCCAGATGTATATTTGTTTAGCTATGTCAAAATTTTAATATATAAATTGATAATAACTCACCTATAGTATTATTAACTTTTGACTAATCTTTCGCTAACGATACTTGCTGAAATACGTTTTAATAAGGCTTACGAAATTCAAGAATAACAGTTATTCTAACAGAGTCGCCAAGCGTGCGCACGAAGACAGAGCAAGTGTTTGCAATGAAAGTCCAACGCGTAGCTCGTGTAGCTCGCGTCTCCCCGCCAGTCTGACCAATGATGCTTTCCGCCGGGAGATACGTCAAAACATGTTATGCAACATACGGTAAACAAAAATTCTAATCGAACCATTTAGCTGATTCTCTTTTAAATTTGGTTTGTTTAATAACATTCATGAATGCTGCAGGATTTTTGAAATTTAAATTTTGAAAATGAAATATTACAAAATTAGTTTTTACAAGTTCTTTTGATGACCATTAATAATAAAAACTAAAAAAAAACAACTAAAGTCAGCAACTCTGGTCGCCATGTAAGCCAGGAAACGTATCTTTTTTTTAAAAAAAAGAACAAAAAACAAGTATACATTTTAGTATCTCTAATATTACTTATAAAATATATATCTTTTATGAATACGTAACAATTTGAACAACATACAAGTCTCGAGCACGTTTGATGGACTTTTTATTGTAAGACATATTTGTGTTCAATAAGTTAGGATAACTAAAATTAGCTAAGCATATAATTGACCATATCATCTTTTTAGACTATAAGTATAGGCACAGATGATCTTAACTTGAACTCTTAAGTTCGGACAGACTTGCTCGAAAGTGTTAATTACTTTACGTGCTAGTCAATGGTGTATAGCGGCGGGGGCAGCGAAAGGTGTCAATAAATACACCCCCCCACCAGGAACGAATTAGAAAATATACTTTTACCAGTGTCCACATCTACCATACCTTTGAGAATTTAGTCAACCCCAGCGAAAATTTCAAATGCCATCCCCTCACGCAAAAAAGTCCGAAAGAAACACTGTCTGCATGATTGGAATGTACCGGTCAAAAGTAGGAAATGGGTCTAGATTAAAGATGTCGGGTCTACCTTTAGTCTGTATGATCAACAACTGCGACCAGTGTTTCTTTCAGACGGACACGGGTAAAATTATCTGTTTTCTAGTTAAAATTCTATTTCGCTAGTTGGGGCAGTAGACGTTCTTTGGGGGCTCCTCCTTCACACCCATTGTCTTCACCATAGAGATAAATGAATGCGACTTTTCTGAGCTCAGGTGCAAGGTTTATAGGGATGACTCAGTTGAACTGAGACGTCCTACAGACACTACACTAATCAACTATCATGCCTCATATATACATATTAGACAAATTCTAATAACAAACTTGTATATTTTTTAAACTTAATATTACACCGCATTTCCATAAGATATATAATTCTAATATAAAAAAATATTAAAAAACGTTTTAATAACAAGCTTTTATGTAATAATGCACTAAAAAGTAGTAAATAAATTATACACTACTCTTTAAATAAGTATAAAGAAAAGCGTGGGTCTCTTGCTAATATTAGTTAAGTTATCCAATAGATACTAAAGCGACCCACGCTTTTCTTTATAGTTATTGAAATAGTAGTGTATAATCTATTTTCTTCTTTTTAGTGCATTATTACATAAAAGCTTGTTATTAAAACGTTTTTTTATGAATTTTCAGTATTTCGAGTTTTTAAAGTTTACAATATATTTGCATGACTAAAAACGAATGCGCACCTAATGAACATGATGACGCGTGTATAATAGTGCGGAATAGTTGGATGAGACAGCCTACTAATTTGGATAAAACTTTAATTAATTTATTTAAAAAATAATTAGGCATCCAATTAGGTCAAATTTAATGTCAGATTGCATTGTTTGACCCTCTTACCAACGTTGAAACAAATCTGTCAGTTAGAGGTGTCCGAAATTTTGTTCGGGCGTTTTGATCTAGACAGCTTGACGACAGACTGAGAAAGTGAGTTAAATAAAAAAAAACGCATTAGTAACAAGTTTGTATGTAATAATGCACTAAAAAGTAGAAAATAAACTATAGACTACTATTTAAATAAGTATAAAGATAAGCGTGGGTTACCTAAGTATCTATTGGATACCTTTACTAATACTTAGGAAAAGACCCACGCTTTTCTTTATACTTATTTAAATAGTAGTCTTTAGTTTATTTTCTACTTTTTAGTGCATTATTACATACAATCTTGTTATTTAAGCGTTTTATATAATTTTTTTAGTACTTTACATGTTTTATTTACACTAGATTTCCATTACTAAAACCCATTGCGCGCCTATTGAACGTGTTGACGCGTGTCTAATAGCACGGAATAGTTTGATGACAGCCTACTAATTTTGACAACATTTTTAATTAATTCATAAAAAATTAATCAGGCAACCAATTTCGTCACATTTAATGCCATGTTGCATTGTCTTCATGTCTTAACCCAAGTACCAAATGCGAACCGTATCTGTCAGTTAAAAGTGCCTGCAATATTGCTCGGGTGTTTAGATATAGAGAGACTGACGACAGACTGACAAATAAAATTTTAAAAAGTTTGTAAAAAGCCCATGTGCGCACTTCTCTCCCCCCCCTCTCTCTCTCTCTTTCTCTCTCTCTCTCTCTCTCTCTCTGCAAAATATTTTCCGAGGCTGTGAGATCAATATATTCAGCAATAAATGGTGAACGTAATGATACGGACTTTTGTTGAAAATAATATGTTTCATGTATTAAATGTATAAACTACATTTTATTTAAAGAAGTGAATAAACAAAGGCATATTCGAATGTGGAAACACATTTTTAATTATGCAAAAGTATGAAAAGTGTTTAAGATTGTGACAAGAACATGTCACGTGTTTACAAAACGGAAAGTACACAGCACTAGTGGCGTTTTATTACAATTTTAGAATAAAGAAATGAACTTTTTTTCAAATTTGATTTAGATCTATAAAACATCTTATCAAGACTTACGCTATGAAGGTATACACTTTTCTTGGCCAAAACTAATAAAATTAACTTTAAAAAATAACATAAATACACTTAAACAGCCGGGTTTTTAACGAAATCATTTAAGTTTCTTTATCTAATAGGTATTGGTAGCCTATGTTATTTCAAATGTGTCGGATGTTTAGCTATTTAATAATTTCTTTGATTTGTCATTAATATCGTTCAATGTGTAGTAAAGCTCGTTGCGTTTTGACCACTAACTGTTTTATAAATTATTTTCTCAAACAAGTATAACATTAACATATACAGGCCTGAAATTCACGTGTAACGGTAACCGACGACTAGTTGTATAAAGACGAATAAAGAAGGATTGTGTAAAAGTAAAGCACACCAACATGTTTAGACACGAATCATTCCTCGCCTTTCACACGGTCAAAATTTGGCAATTAACCAAAGAGCTGTATATTATCAAAATACAAACTTCTCTTCATGGGCAACCCTCTTCCAGCCCCCTCTCGCTCTCCAGACCATTTCGCTACAACCCCCCAAAATATATAGGCTTATATTTCACGTGTAACGGGTACCGATGGCTAGTGTTTTTTTTTTATAAACAATTTCACGGTGATTTATTTTTAACATGGTTATAGAAGAAAACCAAGATTTAAACAGCACCAACAAATATAGTCGAGAATTTTAAAAAATCATATAATTTAAAATTTGACATGTAAGAAATCTGTATTTCAGAGCGGTCATTTTATGGCATTAACGAGAAAACTAGATGTGTGACTATTAAACATATAATATATTGACATGTTCTAGCAATTATGATAGTTAGGTGACCTCACTTTACAAATGTAAATAGCAAAAATAACAAAAAATGGCAAACTTTTACTTCCCGATCAGAAATATTTGAACACAAACATTATACTCTAATTGAGGCTATATATGGAGAATTATTTTTTTAATCAACCCCACCTTTATGTGATTTGACCAAGAAGTAGATATTTTTATTGACATAAAAAAGCATCATTTCAGGCCAAACACTTGTTACAGTAAAAGTTGTAAGCAAATAAACAAATTATAACATTGCATTAAAACAGACTTTATGCTTAAAATGTCTAAAAACTTGTCAATAATAAAATAAACAATATAATTCTTTTTTTCCTTAATTTTTATTTATAGATCTAAAAATATCATGTGACCAAGCAAGTTATTTATAGATCTAGATCTAGAATCTAGGTCAAACAAAAGATTAGTTAGATACTTACCAAAGATTAATTAAATAAAAATAAAATCCATTTTATAATCATAATACATTTTTAGTCCTTAAATACTTGATATAAATCTTTGTGATTTATCTATCTAGATCTAGATCTAGATCAAGCAAGAGTTACGCAAATACTTTTATACTAGATTCTAGACTTAAGCAAACGAGTCGTAGAATCTAGATCTAGATAATTCTATCTAGATCTAGATAATTTCAGACCTTCTTTATTTTATATAAATCTTTGTTTGGCTAATTTAAGATAAAATTTAATTTGAAAGTTACTACTACTAGACTTAGATCTAGATCTATGCGCGAAAATCAAGTTGCATAAGGAGACTCAAAGTATTAAAGTATAGTATAAAAAATTATTTTGTGACGTTACGAGTATATAGCTAAGTTGTTAGTGTAATCGGCTCTCATGCGGGTAGCACAGGTTCTAGACCAATAGGATTTTAATTTTAATTTTATTTTTTAGATGTGAATGATAGAGTTGCCTATCTGAACTTGGCGGGATACAGGGCAGGTGAAGTAGAGTTCATCTGTTTCTTTGTCCTAAACATATGAAGGGATAGTGTGGTCAGAGACATGCTCGGCTGGAATCGTTTTTTAAACGATAAAAACGTGTTGTCTGAGACTTGGCGGGACACTGGGCAGGTGAAGTAGAGTTGGGTAGGTCACCTGTGACGTCAGTATATGAAGGGATAATCCGAAATCGGTGTTTTCGGTGTTTTTAAAAGATAAAAAAACATATTTTTTAATGTGGGGTCTGTTTTTTTTGTGACGATACCGATAAGTGACACTGCAGTAGCGTAGCGAGGGGGTGTGGGGACATATGTCCCCGGGCGCCGACCTTAGGGGGCGCCAAAATGGGTTGGAAAAATAAATTGAAAGGCTGAGGGGGGGGTGCAAATCAAAAGTTTGAGGAGGGGGGTTATAAATCGAAATCTTGAGGAGGGGTGCAAA